TAATGTCATCGGAATATCACTTTATTTCACTTATCGCACTGCATTACGTCAAACAGCAATGAACTGCGACTGTAATTAGTTATCTTCACATTATGTCTTGCATACTGTAATTGTGTAAATTTATTGTTTGTTTTCGTGTAGTTGTTTTAAAGAGTTGCTTTATTTGCTGCATTAGCAAAGATCTGTGCTATTTGACGCCAGCAGAAATTTGTAGTTTGCGTCCGTTCGATGTAGTGCATCAACGCCTAAGTGGAACAGAGTTGAAATTTGTTTATTTACTTAATGCATATTACTTTAATATTGCAATCCAGCTCTCTATTTTGAGTCTGCTTGATGCAGTTCAGTAAAGCTCATAATAGAGCGAAAAAAGTGTAAATAAGATATTTAAAAAATAAAAAAGGAATATTAATAAAAAACAAAATAAAAGAAGTGATTTGAAAAAATGTTAAGTTGGCTTCACTTCTATTCATGCCTCATCGAACAGCAATAAGCAGTGACTGTACTCATGTGTTGGCTTTCTGTGTAATATGTTCAATACTGTAATTGAAGAAACACATTGAATTCTTCGTTTGTTCTTAACTGTTTTGTATATTTGTATGTTTTATTTTCTGTTTTTTTACAGAAATGATTTTTGGTGGTGGCTGCGATCTGTAATCTGAGTCTTCTTCATGCAGTTCATTCATGCAAATGGTAGAGCAAGGAAAGCATCTGAATATGATGTAAACAGAATAATGCAAATAAAATAGTTGAATATCATTGGAAAATAGAAAAAATAAATGATAAAAGATGAAAAGAATTGCTTTGTATTTTCACTTGCTCACTGTACATCAAACAGATATCAACTGCGATTGTATTAATTAGTTTACTGTATGTGTATTATTTTTAATATAGCAGTTGAGCAAACTTATTGTATTCTTTATTGTAGTTGTTTTTGGTATCTTTACAGAAATGGTTTTGATGTTAGCTATGATCTCAAGTCTGCTTGATGTAGTTCCATCATGCAAATGATAGAGCAAAAAAAGCGTAAATAAGATGTAAAAAGAATAAGAAAAAGCTGAAAATACAAAATCATGAATATAATAAAAAATATAAACAATACAAAAAATTGCAAAAAAATATGAAAATTAGTGTTTTTTAGCTTCAATTCTTGTACTACATCAAGCAAAAATGAATTGTGATTGTCTTCTTATTAACTTTTTGTGTACTGTCTCTTATTAATTTATTTACTTTATGTGTATTACATCTTATCATTATCGTTAATATAGCAATTGAGCAAACTTACTGTATTCTTCATGACGGTTTTTTTTAAATAGCTGTGTTATTTACTGTATTTTTTAACAGAAATGCTTTTTGGCGCGAGCTATGATTTCTACTGTGAGTCTGATTGGTGTCGTTTAGTAATGCAAATATTAGAGCAAAAAAAATAGAACATAAATAAGATATAAAAAGAATAATGAATTTTTTATGAATTTAAAAAATGCACATAAAAAGTTGAATAGTTCCTCAGATGATCATAGTCAAAAGAATTACTGCGATAATATGTAGGTCAATTTAATTATCACTGTAATTTAGCGCTGATAAATTGTATGATTTCAAATCAGAAAAAAATATTTTTTAATACTAAGAATAATTAGACTAATATGCAAAAATGGATAATAGAGATATAAATTGTGTCAGTATAAATACAAGTAAATTTTACTTTGCTTTCGATTTTATATGCATGGCCAGAGTATTAATCAAATTTAGCAATATTTTTGGCTTGCTATTCTGATATAATTCCTTAATGCAAAAATGTACAAGTTTAAACTTGAACTTGAATTAAAACTATGGAAATCAACCAAATTTGTTTGTAAAGAATTTGAATTTGCTTTTTCAAATTAACTGTAAATTTCCTTTCTACTCAAATCAAATCGCTTGACACAGCATTGCCATGAATGATATTTTTGAGAAAATGCTTTTTTCTTGTCATAATTCTCATTCTGTGTTTTTCAGCAATGCTTTATACTAATTCACAATATTTTTTAATGCTATAAACTTTACTATTTACAAATGTCAATATTATTTTTGATCTTACACGATATCAAGCTAATTTATCTGAATATAAATGGCTATTATTATGTATTTTGACTGTTTTTTAGACCACATTATTGTTGGACAGATGTATTATATGGACAGAATGCACTACATTTATAATTCTACATCGCATAACCCATTATGTTATAAGCTTTTATATTTTTGATGATTTATGATTTATGAGTTCTCTCTCTCATTTCAGTTTTCAAACTTAAGAAAATTCACTAGAACTTTTAGGCAACGAAAAAGGTCTTATTAGACCAATTCAATTCAAAAATTTCATGAAGTATTGGTTAGTACATTTTTACACAAACCAAATTACTTGGCACATAGATACGCTAGATATATACACGTCTGTAAACCATGCATACGTATCTTTTCACGTTCAGTGCAAGTATCTACTACATACATATATGGACAAACTAATTTACTTATTTTTCTTCTATTTATCCTTTTCACATATAATTTTTTCTTCATTTCATATCTTTGTAATGTCTGCAAAGAAACGCAGACTATTTACTATAATCTATAATGATGTATATGAGATCTTTGGAGGCTGGCAAGTTTATTCCGAGTGCTGAAACACTACAGTTCGTATAGTATCGCTGTTAAGGAAAAATGACGCGATCAGTCAGGAGATTTTCTCATCATTTCCATAATAGAATAAAACTGTAGAGAGGAAGTCAGCTCTGTTGACTTTTATACGGACAATTTCAGAATTTACAAACTGCCTGAAGGCATTAGTAAGTAAACAACAACCCTGTTTCCTGTTTATTAAATAATATATCCCTGATAATATATGAGGCACTTGTTTTGTTTGTTGCATAACGAACATTTCTATGAATTTGTAAGATTATTGCTTGTATAGGTATAGGAAGTGTGGATACGTTAGATTTGTGAAATGTATAGATATGTGCGATGTGTGGGATGTTTGCATGTTGAGATGCGTGAAACGTGTAAGTAGTGTGCACGTGGGTGGTATGCGTGGAATGTGTGAATGTGTAGCATGCGTGGAATGTGTGATAGTGTGTGATGTGTGGTAGTTAGTAGTGGATGGTATTATTACTGACTTGTGATTAAAAATTATTTTTAATAATAAAAAATAATGTTCATAGCATCTATATGTTACTTTTAATTGCTGATAGCATCTGATAGTGGTAGCAAGTAATAAGTGAGACTTAATAAGCGTAATGACAAATACTAGTAAGAAGGTGTGAGATGCGTGGGATCCACAGGATCCATGGGATGTATAAATGTTTCGGATTATAAAATGAGTGCGTTGTGTGAATGTAATAAGTGGAATGTATGAGATTAGTAAATGTGTGGAGGTGAAGGATTCGTGGATGTGGTCGATGTGCTGCAAATCTGTGATATGTAAATGTGTGGAATGTGCATGGAATGGGTAAATACGTGAGATGAGCAGGGTGTTTGAGGTGTGTGAATGTGTGTAATTTACGCATTTACGGAATGTGCGATCGTGCAAATGTTGAGATGTGTGGACGTGAAATGTGGAATGTTGAGAAACGTGAGTGTCGAAAGTATCGGATTGGAGAATGTGTGGGGTGTGAGAAAGTAGGGGATTTGAGGATGTGTAGGATTTTGTGAATGAGTGGGATGCATGGGATGTACGAAAGGGCGGGATATGCAAATATGATGTGGTAGTTATTGGTAAATGATATTACTTCTGATTTGCAATTTTAGATTGGTTGTGGTAAAAAATAGTTATGTTTGTATTATTTGTGTTTTACTTGTAAGTGGTGAAGCCACTGGTCACCTGGTATGTATAGTTGTCACCTGGTATAATGGTCACCTGGTATGTACAGTTGCTCAGCCACCTCCTCCTTGGAAAAAATGCTTAGTAGAAAAAAGCATACAAGTCAACCACAGAGACGCTTCTTTTCAAAATTTACAAACCAAAAATTGTTTACCATCATACAATGAATGGTTTCCGAAACAGAAACAACTACATTTGAAATGTGTATATATGCATTATAGAACTCTCGCAGATAGTACCAAACTGCTCCCGAATGATTTATATTCTTTACTTTATGGTTCCTGTACGATCAAATTCAAATACGTATTAGCATCTAAAATCCTGGAACCAGTGCAAAATTTTAGATGCAGATTCTGCAAAATATTAGCATTCCTGATCGTAACCGGATGTCAAGACTTCAGATGCCAAAATGCTGTCTTACCTTGCACTGCATTTCGTATGTATGAATAAATTTTACTGAATTCCGTTTAGCTATGCAGGAAAACGCGAGAGAATAGACTTTATTTAGTACAGAACAAAATGGAAACTACTCAACAACAATTAACAATAATGGTGGCAACAACAGTAATGAGAATAAATAATTACAGTAACAATAATAACAGCCATTCTTAAAAAGAAACATCTGACAAATGATCAGATACATAAGAAATTTTGCCTAATAAATGTAGATGAAATATGTGGAGAAAGCTTTGGTTGAATGAAATGGTAGTAAATAAACCTGTGAGCAGAATGTTTCCTCACACTTTTCACGCAGCTTTTTTAAATATACCATTATTTTTTCCCAATGCATCTTTTTTAAATATTACAACTTGATCTTGTGTAGTTTACAAGGTATAAATTCTGATTTTTTTTTGCCTTAGTGTCTAAATCGAAATCGGTCAAGGATCGCTTTCAGCACTTTTCCTAGCCATTGCTTTGCTAAATTTCGATACTATGACGAGTCCTTGAAGCGATATTATTCTGCTGGCACCGAATTCCAGTACACTGACAGAATGTTTTCTCACACTCCTTACATGACCTTTTCCAACCACATCTGTTCTTCCAATATTTTCATTTATGATTCCAGATGCGGACTTTTTCTTTTTACCGTTCATCCTATGTTTTTTGAACACAGCCGCTCAGAGTCAACCGCCCAGCAACTCCAGAATATGTCACTGATTCTGGAGTTGAATCGCATGCTGACACTTTGGCTGTACTTATCCCGCGCTCAGATTTGCTGTACTCATCGTTTTTGCTTCGTCCTCGTGAAATCCATAAAGACTGTAGAAAGAGATGCTTCCGAGCGCCTTCTTGAGAACTATTGATTGGATGTATCCCTCGACGTGATCAGATATAATAATCTCCTTCGTGTAGCGTTTGTGCAAGTTCGTTACAATCATCCAAAGTCATCACATACGGAATTATTTTGGTCCTGCATTTCATCTCTGACTCAAGCTTATTAGCAAGTAATGCCTGACTTATTTTCACCTTTTCTCAGTCTCGACTGCCATCAACCTATCCTGACTAGTGATGCCAACTTTAATCAGAATTACTTCACGTCGCTTCTTGTGTATCATGATATCAACTACAAACAACAGATGATTCGTTATTGCATTCCATAATCAGTTGGAACCACCACCTTTAGGTATCTTATAGTGGGACGGTTGCTCAACGGGTCCATGCACAGGACGAATAGCAGCTCAGAAAGGCTATCACCTTGGAGAATTCGTCGCTCTATTTTCTTCTCCATTGCTTTTCAATGTAACCGACCATCTGGAGGTGATGCTTTTCAGAAACCTGCTGATTCACAATGGCATGTTAAGCCTTTCAATGCACTTAATCAGGTATTTATGATTAAAAGAGTCGAACGCTTTCTTTATATCATACCATATAGTGTAAAGCTTTTCCGTGCTCTTTGCAAACCGCCAGGTTCAACACTGCTTGTTCCTTCGCACCTTGAACCTGGGTAACAGTTCCTAATTGATTGTCTGCAAGCAGCTTCTCATGAGACGTGCCACACATTTCGCTGTTAACTTGTAAAGGTTCGACAAACAAGTTATTGGCCTGAAGTCGCTGACTTTACTTGGGACTTCTAAAATCATGTAGGTAGAACCCGTATAGAACCACGGATCCTGTTCCTCCCCGTCCAGACAAATCCTTTTTACTATTTTGTACAGGTCTGGATGCAAGAAGGTGCACTTCTTAATAAACAAATTATAAACTCCATCAGGCCCAGCCGCTTTCCAACTGGGCAAATGGGAGACTATCCTTCCCTTCAAAGTGAAAAGTATGATGCACTTCATCACCTGGAAGGAATTCTTC